AGAGTTGGGGGTCTCAGAGGTAGGGGCAGCGTGGATAGTTGCCTAGAGCCAGGGGCATCCTTGACTGGTCTGAAGGCCTAGCAATGTCATTCACAGAGAAGGGCCCTCTGGTCTGCAGCCAGGGAGCCTGTCACATGGAGGTCAGCAGAAGTGGCCTCTGGTGTTGGGCTGACGGGTTTGGAGATGACTCCAGGCAATTGCTGGGTGGGATGTTCTCTCCATCCCCAAGTCCAATCCTGGAGGCAAGTGAAGAAGAGACACTGGGGTAAAGGTGTCAGGCCTGCCCCCGACAAGGAGCACCTGGGCCCGGCCCACCAGGCGGATCCGAGTGAAGCAGAGTGAGGCTGGCTAGCAGCCACAGCACTTTCTAGGACTCCAGGACAGCATCTGAAGCACTGCTGGTCACTCAGCTGGAGCAGCATCTCCCTCAGGGACAAGCTCACAGGTGTCATGACCTCCAGCCAGGTGGGTCCTGAGCACTGGACTTTTCTCTACCTGCTGATGGCACCATGGCCTCTTTAGGTCCATGGACATTCCTAGTAGTATGGACATATCTCCTGAACTCAGAGACAGGTGTCCGTCCAGCCATGATGATCAACCAGGGCTGTCTGTCCTGTCCATTTCCTCCACATCTCTGTGAAAACCTGGACAGGCACATCCAAGGCCTCCAGGCCCACAGAACAACCTGGGTCATTAGCCTGCTCTGCAACCTGCTAATAGCTATTCCCTAGGACCTGGGGCTTCCTCTGGGTACCCAGAGGAGGGCTGAGGTACCTCCCCCTGGACAAGGCCAGGTGGCCCTGCAGAAGCCACTTGCCTCAGCACTTGTCCCTGCCACAGGTACAGACCTCTGTATGGCCCCTAGCTGCTGGCCTGTGGTCCCTTCCCACTCACTAGGCAGTTCCAGGCCAGCTCACAAAGGCTGAGCTGGCAACACCCTGGAATCTTTCTCAGGCTCAGCAGCTGCCCACCATCCCTCCCCCAGGCACCAGTCACTCTGACCTAGGCTGTCACCTACCTTGTCTGTTTCCCCTGGAGAGTCTGAGTCATGAAGGGGGGCCTTCAGGGCCTGGAAAAGTATGAGAAGTGACAAGGGTCACTATATATGTGTCAGGTAGAAGAGAGGTCATAACAGAGGGAGAGAGACAGAGACACAGAGAAACAGAGAGGGGGAGAGAGAGAAAGACAAGAGAGAAAAGAAGAGACAGAGAAGAGAGACACAGAGAGACAGAGATGGAGGGAGACAGAGACAAAGAGGGAGAAAGAGAGAGAGAGGAAGAGATACAGAGAGATAGAGACAGAGATACACAGGAACAGAGACAGAAGGAGACAGACATAAGGAGAGAGATGCAGAGAGAGATACAGAGAAATACAGACAGAGACAGAGGGGAGAGAAATACAGAGATACAGGGACACAGAGATGGAGAGATATAGATTTACAGAGACAGTAAGGTAGAGAGGGCATGCTCAGATACTGAGAGAGGTCAGGGGAGAATTGGTGGGCCAGAAGAAGGCCTCTGTCTTATGTGTCCAAGCCTGATCCTAACTCTGTGATACTCTGCCAGGCCTGGGCTATGGATTGGATGGGAATGATCCTGAGTGCAGTGCTGAAGCCCAGACCTCTGACGCGGATTGGCCCAGGGGCATCTCCCTGCTGGTGAAGGTTGCTAAGTCTGTAGGGCCTGCTTTGGGCTCAGGAGGTTACCTCTGGGATCCCTGTGAAGAGGTCAGATGTGGAGACATCCCACCAGGTCCATCAGAGGTCAGCAGCAGAAGGACAAGGCACCAGTGGTGCAAAGTGTCCTCTGTCTTCACTAGGCCTAAGCCCCTCTCCTTGTTTGTCCACTCCTGGGTTCTGAGAATAGTTTGGGGGCCAGGCTGAGCAGACACAAACAGAATTTGAATACCTGGAAGCAGGTGATTCCACTCTGTAGGCACCTACCCCAGACCTGCATGTGGCCTGAGGTGGTGACCCCAACTAAAGAGCCAGGTGAGAGGAAAACAGGCTTCACAGATTCTGGAGGGCCAGGGCGCTGACAGAAAGGAGTGTTGGGAGATGCTGACCCCAACAGCTGGTGGTGTCCTGCCTCTTGAACTGGCCAAGAATGGAGTCTATCCCTCCTCCACCCTTGGCCCAGAATGGGGTGTAGGAGGGATGGACAGTGCTGAGGCTTCCCCACTACAGACCTGAGAGGTTGTGGGCTACCTCATATCCTAAAACATAGGTTCCCCGTTGGGAGGTTGTCTCTGCTCCCACCCCCAGGCCCACAAGGCCCACCTGACTGAAGAGGAGGCTCTGATCCCTCACCCCTCTCTGCACCCTGTCTCAGCTGCAGAGGGTCCCCAGCCAGGTCAACAGAGTAGTGGAAACCAGGCGATGGCACTGGAAACTCTGTCTCCACGACCTCCTGAGTTAAGGGTGAACATGGGGAAGACCTGGGGACTGAAGGAGAGAGGAGGGGAGTGGTCTTCCCCAGCTGGGTGAGGGGCAGGAGTGCAGTGGTATGACTCAGCGGGAGGAGATGGTGGCCAGTTAATGCAGTGGCCAGGACAGTCCGCTCCTGGGCCGGTACCTCAAGCAGAGTTTTAACCCTGAGCAACTCTAGGAGTTCCAGGTGAGCCCCCAACCCCTGGGAGGTGATCCCGCTGTTGAGCCGCTAGCCCTTCCCCACAGCCAGCTGACCGGGGCGACTGGCCGCCCCCCCGCCGCCTACTCACCCCCAACCCCGGCCCCGCAGTGACCTTCCAGCATCCGTCCTGGCTCCAGTCTTGCGCAGCCGAGACACCACCTCCTCTGCTGCCTCTGTGAGCCTGCCTCTGCTGCAGCCGCCCAGGCCCCCAACCACCCCAGGGGGCCTTTGTCCCCTAAATTGAAACTCAGCTTGTCTCCTTTTCTCGGTGACTTTATTACACTGAAAGATAGCCCTGGGCCGGTGTGCGGGTCTCATCCTTCGAGGTGCTGGGGGGTGGGGGGGCGGGCTTAGGGTCTGCGGACACCTTTTTCCCACCCTGAGGTGCCCGAAGCAGCTGGAGGCGACTGGGGGCGCAGTTACCGCACACGCCCGGGCCCAGCTGGATGGGGGCGCGGTGACCCCTGCCTCCTTCCGCCCCTGCGGGGCGAGCAAGGACTCTTCTGACTCGCGGTTTTGCACGTGTGGGGCCCAGCGTCCACAAGGCTCTCCGCGGGGCAGAAGGGGCCGGCAGTGGGATTCCAAGTTGAAGGGTGGGCCGGGGGCTCGCGCTGGCTAGGAGAGCGGGCTCCCGGAGGCCCGCAGCGTCGTGCCCGGGGCAGGTTGGGGGAGACGCGCGCGGTCCCGAGGCTCCAGGCCCGCCCCGTTAATGTCCACGGCCCCGCCCCTCAGTGCTCCCCTCCCCCGCCCTCCTCGTCACGCCCGGCGCTGGCGCGGGCTGGGGGCTGGGAGCACCTCCATGTGACGCGCCCTCCCCGCCGTGCCCTTCAGCCGACACCGCAGTTGTCTCCGAGCCACATGGACCCAACCAGCCCGAGCGCTCCCCACCACTGACCGAGCGCCCGGCCCTGGAAAGGTAACCGATGCCTCTGGGCACAGCCTGCTCTTCGGTCTCGTTTTCCCTCTCCCCTCCCCGGCCCCTGTGCCACCTGCTCCTCTTGCGCGGACTGGGTGCCCCTGCGCCCTCTCCCCAACCCTGGTGCTCCTGTGCCCTTCCCTCGCCCCAGTGTCCCTGCGACCCCTCCCTGCCCGCCCTGCTCCAGCTTCCTGGCTCCCGCGCTGAGTCTGTGGCTGGCGCTGTCCACCGGCGCGGTGCTGAAGCGGCCCCGGCGGTCCCGGCCCCGCACCTGCGTCTTTCTTGTTCCTCCCCACCACCAGTCTCCCGGTTTCCTCCCTCGTCCTCTTCTTTCTTTCCTCTCTCCTGGCGCGCTCCCGTGAAGGCCGCTAGGCAGAGCTGGCTCACCCGCAAAGCTAAGGGGTGCGGCGACCGCTGGAACCCTAGCTGGCCAGGGCGTGGGTAAAAGCGCTGGGGTGTCTGTCCTTGTAAGAGCTCCTGGAACACGAGCCTCTCTGCGCTGGGCCCTGACATTCCCCTCCCGCTTATGAGCCAGGGGAGAAGTTTGGAGAGTCTGCTTTGCAGCAAGGACACCCCTCTGCATCAGTGCTCTAAGGGGCACTGCCTGCCTCCCCCCTCCTTCCCCAGTCATGAGGATCTCAGTCCTCTGCAGAGCAAAAAGCTGTAAAACAGTCTTTCCAGGGACCCAGGTTTTCCTGACAGGAGAGACCCCACAAAAGGGGTCCACTGAGACTGCTGTCATTTTACAGAAAGTACCCCTCCAGAGTGCCCACTGCCTGAGAGGAGCCCTGGAGCCTGGAACATCCCACCCAGCAGGCACAGGTGCTGGGTGGTCTGCCCTTCTTTGTTCCCTGCCAACTGAGTCCTTGGGGTTTCTCCACTCTATTTTCTCCACTCCCCCTTTTACTGTGGGCAGAGGGCACTGGGGTCTCCTCAGGGTGAAACCTGGCCCCGGGTATCAGAAGCCCCAGGACCATCCCTGGAGGGCCCCACTCAAAGATCTACCACCTTAAGCCTTCTCCCTGGTCTTGGCCTCTGCAGAACAGAGCAGTCACCTTCAAATGCCCCCTGGGCCCCGCCCCCACGTAACGCAGGCTGGCATGAGACTTCTCTGAATTCCTCTGAGCTATGCCCCCATATGGGGAGCACTCCCCCTGCAGACTGCTGAAGGCTAGCTTCAGAACCCCTGAGGGAGTGTGGAGACCACTTTGCAGGCTGGCTGGGGGCCTTGAGCCTGAGCGTGCTGGTGTGTTGTGGGGATGCCTCCCAACATAGGGCACTCAAGGCACCCTTCTCAGTGGGGGATCCAACCTGCAAAGTATTGGGGCAGGGGACGAATGGTGGTCCCTGCAGACCAGACTGTGGTTCTGGGGAAGGTCAGGAAGGGGTAGGAAGAAGCCCAGGTTTGGTCAGGGTGACTGATGACCATCTTGTTCTCCCCCAAGAGGAGGACCCCTGGCCACACTTGAATGTGAGTTCTGAACCTTGGACGAGTCGCTGAGGAACCTGAGCCACCATCATGGAGTTCGTGATGAAGCAAGCCCTGGGAGGTAGGGAATGGGCATGGGTTTGGGAGGGGCCATGGGGCTGAACCACCTGACAGGCAGGCCCAGCTACTGCTCAGCCTGCACACTACACAGCAGACACACACCCAGCCCCCTGCAGACCCCACACGGCCTTTGTAAACACACTTGCACCCCCTCCAAAGGAGCCCTGGGTCAGAGTGCTACTCTGTGTCTGGCAGCATCCTGATCCAGCATTTGGTGTGGAGGGGATCAGGAAGGACTAGGCAGGTGGGGAGGGTGCGAGGCACACAGGAGGTGCAGGCCTTTGCATCAGGGACCAGGGTAGGGGCGGGCAGGCCTGGGATATTGGTGAGGACCTCATGGGCTTCACCTGGTTGGGCAGCACTGTCCACAGGAGGCAGAAGGAAGAATAGCTGTGTGACCTGCTATCCTCCAAGGAGGCAGTGCAGCCTGTTGTGTGTGCACTTCAGGGGTAGGGCCCCTTCCAACCTGCCAACTGCTATTTGAAGGGAACCCTGTTTTCTCTTGTCCCACAGCCATCTTTGTGGCCCAGAACTGTGAATAGTCATGGACAGTGAGTTTCTGGCCTAGAGGTGGGTGGGCCAATGGGCTCAGGGGCAGGTCCACAGTGGCACAGATGTGTCCCAAAGAACCTAGGCCTGCAGGCCTTGGGACTGTTCTGGGCAGCTCCCCTGGGTCAGCACCAGCTCCCTGAGCACCCAAGAATGGAGCCTACAGCCAGCACCTGACTCTACCATCAGGGTGGCCTCTGTGGGGAGCATCCTGACCTGGTTCTGTGAGCCTGGGAGTGTTTGTCCAGAGTAGGGAGTAGGCTGGGCCATAGTGCCAGGGCCCCAGGCAGATGGAGGCACTCCACCATACCCAGGAGGCGCACACATACCGCTGTCTCTTGGAGGACGTCTGTGCTTTTGCTCAACATAAATTAAATGAAAAGACGTTTGAGCCTGGCCCAGGGCCACAGCCCTGAGACTTCTTGGTCAAGGTTAGGGCTAATTATAATGATTACATCACCAACATGTTTCCGGTACAAGGCAGCATCTTTACCAGGCAGGACCAGGTTCCACCCAGGGCATCCCAGGCTATTACAGACAATTAATTAGGTGGCTAATTCAGGCTCTGAGGTGGGTTTTTAAGAAAACTGAAATATCTGCTTTGTCTGTCTGCATGGCTGAAATTAGCTGGGTAATTGCCAGCCTGAATTCCCTCTTTGTTTCTTGTCAGCCCAAAGTTTCCTTTGCACTGGTGATGGGCAGGCATTGGGGACACCATGGTAGAGGGGGGTAGTTGGTAGGCCTCAGGGTCTCTGCAGTGGAGCATGGCCAAAACCCACCCCCCATTTTGCTTGGTGGAGCTCATGGCTGTGTGAGACCCAGCACTGCTGCCGAAGACTTTGTTCCTGCCCCCATCTCTGCTCCCCACCGGCCAAGTCACTCTTACCATCTCAGAATGAATGTGGGCCAGAGGGGGGCCAGACGAAGACCCTAGCAGGAGTCTTCTGAGAGGAAGACCGAACCTCAGCACAAAGACAGGAAACTGGCAGGAGAAGGGGCAGGAAGGAGGCCAGGGAGAGGGAAATGAGAAACTGGTTGGAGGTAGAGCTGGGAAAGGAAAATGACAGCCCAGAAACAGAGATGGAGAGAGACAGAGAGGCAGTAATGTGCTCAGCAAGGAATATGCAGAGGTGAAAACTGAACAAGTGTGCAGCAGAGTGGGGAGAGGGAGACGGGAGAGAGACAGAGAAAGACAGAGATGACTGAAGTCAAAACAGCAGAAATGTAGCGTCAGGCAGCACACAGACAGCACCCACACATCCGCACGCACACATGTGCACAGGGAAAGACTCACAGAAGCAGGCAAGGAAGGCTTTGGCTGAGGAGCTGCCTCACAGGGGATAGGACTTGCTGTGCTTAGGGCCTTGGGTGATGCTGTTCCTTCAAGCCTCCCTCTTTGCCTGGTAGGACCTTCACATGGCAGTGCAGAGCCTCAGCTGAGACTGGGGAGGAGCCAGGCAGCAGGGCTCTGAGCTGAAGCAATGGCAGTGATGGGCTGGAATTCAGGGACAGCCTGTTCAGGAAGGAGCTCAGGGTGCCAGCTGGGGTGGCCAGGAGTTCTGAGAGTCCAGTGTGGACGCTTGCCCCCTGCCCAGTCTCTGCAGCCTCCCTGAGGGGCCCCAGCTCTGTTGCCTGCTGAACCCCTGCCCCCCACCCCCGCCCCGGTAACCAGGGAGCAGGGTGAGGATCTGGAGGTTCACTACACCAGAAGAGAAGATGCAAGGAACAGCAACCAGGGCTTAGGGCCTGTGGCCTTACCCCAGGACTCTGGGGCAGATCGCCTTTGGACCTGTTCTAGGGCAGGGTGAGTGGCCAGATGGGTGCAGAGGCTCTGGACCTTAACTCTGTCTGTCCTCCCCGTCTGACTTCTCGATTGTGCCCCATTCAGGGCTCAGTCCTTCCTGCTTGGCCTGTGGAAGCCTAGCCAGTCCCCCAGGTTCTCACGTGCTGTGACCCCACCTGGTCCCTGTCCTATCTGCACCCACAACAGCTACCTCAGGGGTCACTCACATAACCTCTGGGTTCCCAGCTGTAGGGTCCAGGGATATAAGCAGGTGGCCAGGTGGGGCCATGGGCCTCACTAGGGCAGGACAGGCAGCCTTCTGGCATCTATATTCCCTCCACTTGCTAGTTCTGCCATGCCAGGGACAGCCCTGCCCTGTGCTAGTAGCTTGGGCCTTGTGGGGCCCTGGGACGGTGAGCTTATCCATCCACCTTCATAGCTGCTGCCTGGACAACCACCCCTGGCCCTACACGCACCTTCTAGCACTTGCCATCATATGCCAGGCCAGGGCCATTATCCCTTTGACTCTGCAGGTGTGTGTTGTGGGCCCACTGTGTGTAGGGACCCCTGGGTGTGGACACAGGCAGGGCAGGGGGTGGAGAGGATACTCTTAGGGCCAAATTGTGCAAGAAAGTGTCCAGCTGTTAGTAAACTCATTCTTCTCACCAAGAGCATGCCCTCAAGGCTTTAGCAGGTTTGGGGCCATCCCCAGATATAAATGGGCCTATGTTAGTGTCCAGCTCTCTAGAGGAAGGAGCTTCAAGGCTCCTACAGAGTGCTGATTGCCCTTGGTGTAGGAAGCTTGTCTGTGGCCTCTTTGTGGCAACGTAGCCTCAACTTGGGCCAGGCACATCTACAGGGATTTGGGGTACAGGGTCCTCAGGGGGTCTCTCTGGGGCCAAGACATGGCATTGTGCCCTGCAGGGAGCATGCATGGTTGTGGGGAGACTGACTGTATCATGCAGAGGTGGCTATGGTAGCTTGAATGACCGGGTCAGTGCTCACTCTCCATTCTCAGTGACACTCCCTGTCCAGAACACACTTGGATCCCAGGGGTGGTGGCTAAGGGTGCAAGAGGGAGGAGAGAGCATGGAGGACTGCATGCAGCAGGGACCACTATGCACATCCTCCCCAGTGCCTGCCCAGCCCAGCCGCCTCACTCTCACCCCCGCTCTGCCCCAACCAAGCAGGCCTTTGTGACTCTGGTGGCTTGGCCAGTGTGGACAGGCCAGTCTGCACCCAACTGAGAGACAGGGTACTGACCTACCTGTGGGGAGGAGGAAACAAATGGGGAAAGGGGGAAGAAAGCACTGTGTAGACATAGTCATGGTTCCAGGGTGAGAAGAGGGCCATTACTGCCCAGGCCAGGATGGACAGTGGAGATGTGTCTCATGAACAAGTCAGGCAGGTAGGCAGGATCCCCCTGTAACAGAGCTTAGGGGGCTGCCTGTGGTCAGAGAACCTCTCCACACCCCTATGGGTGGTATGCTTTGAGCTCTCCATCCCCGAAGGCATGGAGACTGCCAGTGTCCACTTGAGATATGTGGGATGTAGAGGAGAATCTCCCTCTGTAACTAAAGGCCACCAGAGCAAAGAGCCTAGCTGGGGAAGCCCTTCCCTCAAACACACTGTGGCTATTTCCATTGCCTCCCACACCCCCCCCCCCAGATACCAAGTTGGGGTGTAGCCCTCTCCATCTGGGCCCCTTCCTCACTGTACCTTCCAGGACCTTAGGTCAGGACCATGGAGGGCGCCTGGCAGCCAGGGTCCTGTCCTGACTTCAAGTGTTCACCCAGGGGCTATACACCAAGGGCAAGGCCATGTCCTGTCCTGTCCCACCTGCTCCCACTCTCTCTGCTTGTGCCCAGTTTGGAGCTCAGCCAACTCTGCTTGCCGGGACCTCTCCTGTGCTGTGGCAGGTCTAGGCAGTCTGGGATCCTGTCACTTCCTGCTCCACTAGACCCTGGCAAGGCCAGATTCTCTGGACAGTGAAGCTGCAGGCTGAGCTGGGCTGTGGGGGACATAGTGGATCAGAGGGGAAGCTCTCAAATTCTATGTGGGGAAGATGCTCTGGGCTGCAAGGAGCAGAGCTAGAGGGAGAATAGCTTGAATCAGGTGACTCAGTGCCAGGAAGTTGCCCAGCTCAGCAATGCCTCTAGGGACTTGGTGCCATCAGCTTCCACCTTCATCCTCAGTGGCACTTCCATGCTCAGGCTAGTCCTCACAGTCTCAAAGTGGCTGCTTCAACTCTAGCATTACATCCATAGCCAGGGAAGGAAGATGGGGAAGTCCTAAGGGACACTCCATCTGTTTAGCAAATGTCTTTGCAGAATCTCAAGAGGGCTTCCACTAAGGTCCCGTAAGCTAGAAGAGGGAGGTGAGGGCCAAGGCAGGCATGTCACCCTCTAACGGGGGGAGGGCATTGGCAGGAGCTTGCAGGGCTGACTCAAACACAATGTGGAAAGTCTTGATTTTTGAGTGTAGAACCCTAGACAATGAGCCCCAGACCAGTGTCCTTCCTCCCTGCCTCATCCCTTAGAACAGGGGTTGTCCTTGGCAGGTGGCAGCAAACACTTGGTGACAAAATACCAACACTTGTTCAGGAGACTTCACAGATGCCACTCAGCAGAGACAGCTCTTACCCCAACCTCTCCACAGCTGGAAGGACA